TGAGCTCCCTTCGAGCGCCAAGGCCGCGCCCAGGGCCATGCCAGCCCTCTGGTCGTTGCAGAGAACCCAGCCCTCGCCGAAGGCGCGGAAGTACTCGGCGTTGAGAGCTCTGGCAACGCGCGAGGGGCGACATACACAACGAGAGCCAGCTTGCAGCGACACGAGGGAGGAGCCCGTTGTGGCCGTGACTGCGCATTGGGTACATCGGTACCGCCCGAGGCTGGCGCAGTAAGCAAGGACATGGTCCGTACAGCGTGCCACCACAATGGACCTGGCCTGCTCGCAAGGTGGCCTGGGGACCTCCACGTCGCATCCCCATTGTTTGCGAACCGCCGCCTGCAGCGCCGCCCACGAAATGAACTACAGGACCTTGCGGTGCTGTTTCAGCGCAGCTGTTAGCGCTTCGGCTACCGACCCAGCCAGTGCGTGAAAGGCCGCGCCACAGCGCGCGAAATAGTCTGCCCAGCCGTTGCCTAGCCAGTCACGCAGCTCCTGCGGCCCTGTGCCCACAAGCTCCTCCAAGGACCTGTGCGCTGGCGTCCATCGGAACTTGGGAGGGTCCCGCAGAGTGCGCCTGCGGCTGGCCACGAAGATGTCCCGCTACGCTCTACCATGCTTGGCACGACCCTGCTCGAGCTCGGGGCACCCGCGCTCCCCTTCCTGGGCGAGCGCCAGCAGGTCGGTGACGAAGCACTGGTGGTCAGGGAAAGCGTCGAGCCCCTCCCTGATCGCGTACCTCTCAGCACGGCCGACAGTCTGCACCAAGTACGGAAGGGGCCCGAAACGCGCCCTAACTGGGAGCCAAGAGTAAGGATCAAGCTGCACAACTGCTTGTCCACACCTCCGCACCTCGGGAACACCTGAGTCGTAACCAGACCCGTCGGTGTAAGAAACGGGGCCCAAAATGCCATGGGCGTCGCCCCAAAGGCAGACATCATGCCCCCGCGTATCTGCGTGTGGCAGAAAGGCGAGAGGCTCGGGTATGCCAAAAACGAGGTAGGACTGCTCGAAGTTCGGTGTGCCTGGTCCAAGACCCGCTTGGAAAAGTTGGTCGCGCACCTCAGCCAGCACTTGGGGGAGGTGAAAGATACCACGGCCATTCAGCGTTGGTGTCGCTGTCTCGGGCCCGCCATGCCCGCGTGGTGCATCAGGCGCCGAGGCTGAAGCCGCCGCCGCAGGGGACAACGGGTCACTCTGTTCCGAAGCAACCGGTGGCGCACAGAGGACACTCTGCGCGTCCAGCCGGAGGAGCGGGAGGAGGAGGAGGACGAGGAGGAGGATGAGGAGGAGGAAGGATGGGAAGAAGAGGGCGGGGCGTGGTAGCACGATGGCAGGAGAAATCAGCCCATCGTCGAGGAAGGCGGGTCGTGCAGGGGGCGGGAGCAAGGAGCTGCGATCGAGCGGCCCCCCCACGCCAGACCGAGGCCCCGACCCGTGTGCGAGCGGTCGCAGGACAGGGTGGGCCCGCTGAAGATGCCCGGGAACAGCATCTGGGCCTTCAGCATGGCCTCGCACCTGCGGCGAGCGGCCGTCTCAGAGTCCCAGCCCCTCCTCCACGAGCCGATGCTCCTCCCTGCCCTCGTCGTCCTCCTCCTCTCGCTTCGCATGGGTGCTCGTCGTCGTCGTCTTCGTCGTCGTCCTTGCCCTCGTCGTCGTCGTCCTTCTCTTTCTTGCCCTCGTCGTCGTCTCTCCTCCTCTTGCTTCGCATGGCTGCTTGGGCCTTCGGGTGCACGCCGGCGGTGTGGCAACGCGCGAGGGGGCCACAGCGGGGCCGCCCTCCCGGCGGTGCGATACGCATCGGGGGAGGTGCAGCGGGTCAGGGCTGGGCTGCCGTCTGTCACGCCGCGGCCGCTGGGCGTTGAGGGGACAGTTCTCCTCCTCACCACCCTCTTTCTCCTCTTTCTCCTCCTCCTCCTCCTCCTACTCCTCCTCCCCCCCCTCCTCCCCCCCCTCCTCCTCCTCCTCCTCCTCCTCCTCCTCCTCCTCCTTCCCTCCTCCTATTTCCTCCCCTTCCTCCTCTCGCTCCTCCTTGCCTCCTCCTCCACCTCCTCTCTTTCCTCCTCCTCCTCCTCCTCCTCTTCCTCCTCTTCCTCCTTGTCCACCTCCTCTTCTCACTTCGCTCCTCCTCCTTCTCCTCCTCCTCCTCCTTCCCCAACTCATGCTCACGTGGAGGCCCGCCCCCCATCCGTCCACCTTTGGACAGCGAGCGGGTGTCCCCACGGGCACCCTACTCGATACCTGCTCGTGTGCCAAGGTGGCCAAGGCCACCGTTCGCGCCTCGCGCGAACTGGTTCTGGCGCCCCAGGGCACCGATCCACCCTGAGACGGGGGGCGGGTGTAACCACGGGCACCTTACTCGGCACGTGTTCGTGTGCCACCGTGGCCAGGGCCACCGAGCGCGCCTCGCGCGAGCTGGAGCTCCACCCGGGGTGCAGCGGCCCAGGGCGCACCGGGCTGAGCTTCCGGCTGCGGATGCTCGGGGCGGGGTGGGGCGGGGGCCTGCCGCCACGGCCGCCGCGGAGCCCGGCGGGAGCGGCGGCGGGCGCCCACCCGGAGGGCCAGGCCCGGCAGCGGCGCGCCGCACCTTGCCTCACAACGGAGGACGCACTGGACAGGTCCATCTTTCTGCCGTGTTCTTTCCACGAACGAGTGGGCGAGCCGACGACGCACCAGGGAGCGCGGCGAGCAGCAGGGCACCCGAAGAACCGCAACATCGCAAACACCAGCTTCTGGAGATCCGCGCGGATTTCTCGGATGGTCCACGAGGTCCGCGCGGAGCTTCAGAAAATCACGTTCGTGCCTGTTTCTGCTCCCCACTTAGGCTTGCCCAAACGGGTTCTTACTTGGTGAAAAAAGGTTGGTGCCTCCTCGTGTTACTTCGCCCGTTCCTCGGGAATTCCCCCTTGCACGTTCCTCGGAGGTTCCCAGGGTTCCCCGCCCCCGGTGCCTCATGTCAAGCAGTGTCAAGCAGTGCCAAGAAATGCCAAGCAACGCCAAGAAATGCCAAGCAATGCCAAGCACGGCCAAGCAATGCCCATCAATGCCAAGTAGTGCCAAGCTCTGCGCCCATGCAGTAGGAAACTTCCCCCGAATGGGGGGCGCGGTGGGTTCATTCTTCTTCTTCTTCTTCTTCGAGGAAGGGGCGGGGGGGGGAGGAAAAGGGGGGAAGAGTACAGTCGGACTTGATTGGAGAGGACAAGCGAGAGGACACAAGACCCTTCCGGGGGCCACGCTGCCAAAGAAATGTAGGAGGCATGGGTCGCAAGACACAGGATACGAGGGTACTACCCTTGATTTGGCAGGGTCGACCTACTAATCAGGGCCGATGGTAGGGGGACCCGTGCTAAGAGGAGGAGGAGGAGGAGGAGGAGGAGGAGGAGGAGGAGGAGGAGGAGGAGGAGGAGGAGGAGGAGGAGGAGGAGGGAGGAGGCCGAGTGTATAGCGAAGCAGAACGGGTGGGGGAGAGCGCGCCGGGCACGGGCGAGGCAGCGGGCAGAGCAGGACAACACCGAGGGAAGGGCTGGACGGAAGAGGCAGGGAACACACAGCACGGCCCGCAGCGGGCCTATGAGCAGAACGCATACATATATCTATATATACACACCGGGAGAGAGATAGATAGAGAGAGAGCGAGAGAGATAACAATATAGATAGAGAGAGAAAGAGAGATAGAGAGAGAACGAGAGAGAGAGAGAGGTCGAGAGAGAGAGAGAGAACGCGAGGGGGAGATAACGATATACATTTTTAATATATATATATATATGTGTGTGTGTATATATGCACACGTATATATATAGAGAGAGAGAGAGCGAGAGAGCGAACGAGAGAGCGAGAGAGAGAGAGACATCGAGACATACATACAGACATGCACGCGGACAGGCAAGCATACAGAACAGGCACAGTAATCACAACACCTCACCACACCACAACACGAAGCACACACACACCAACGCAGCACAACAAAACAACATCACACCACAACGCTACACACCACAGGACAACCCACACGGACATCAACAAACACACACACACAAACAACGCACCACAACACAGCTATATAGGCATACAAACAAACACACGTTCCTCTCCGCGGCGACCTGCCCTGGGCCGGTCTGGGAGCAACGGGATGCGCAAAATCAATATGCACGCGCACATGGTCCACCACACCAGCACACAATTCAAACCCTTTCTTTCTTTCGTTCTTTCTTTCTGTCGAGCACCTTCCGCCAACGGTTGCAGCCGCCGCGGGCTTTCGCTGGCAGACGGGGCAGAGCCTCCGAGACCCCGTGAATGTTTTGGGAGAGGAGGAGGAGGAGGAGAAGGAGGAGGAGGAGGAGGAGGAGGAGGAGGAGGAGGAGGAGGAGGAGGAGGAGGAGAAGGAGGAGGGGGAGGACGAGGAGGAGGAGGAGGAGGCCGCCTGGAGGCTCCCCAGGCGGCCTCTGATCCATCCTTCTCCCGTGGATTAACTCCGGAGTTAATGCACGGGGCCCAGGGCGGCGCCTCTCAGAGGCCTCCTGGAGGGCCTCTGAGAGGCCGCCTGGAGGGGGCCCAGGCGGCCTCTGATCCACCCCTCCCCCGTGGATCAACTCTGGAGTTCATCCAGGAGGAAGAGGCTGGCTCGTGGATCCGCTTCCATGTGGATTAACTCCGGAGTTAATTCACGGGCCCAGGGCCTGAAGGGCCTCTGAGAGGCCGCCTGGAGGCGCCCCAGGCAACCTCTGATCCACCCATCCCCCGTGGATTAACTCCGGAGTTAATTCACGGGCCCAGGGCGGCGCCCTGATCCACCCCTCCCCCGTGGATTAACTCCAGAGTTAATTCACGGGACCCAGAGAGGCGCCCTGATCCACCCCTCCCCCGTGGATTAACTCCTGGGTTAATTCACGGGGCCCAGGGCGGCGCCCTGATCCACCCCTCCCCCGTGGATTAACTCCGGAGTCAATCCAGGAGGAAGAGGCTGGCTCGTGGATCCGCTTCCAAATGGATTAACTCCGGAGTTAATTCACGAGGAAGCCGGTAGCAGAAATGGATTAACTCCGGAGTTAATATTTAATTAACTCCTGGTTTCAGCCATGTCGGAGGAGGAGGAGGGGGAGGAGGATGAGGTGGAGCGTCAGGGAGCGACGAGACCTGTGCATGTCCACCACCGCTGGCCGGGCCATCCTGGCCCCAGCAGCGGTGTATACGCCCCCTTTTGGCAGGGGCAGGGGAGCAACTACACACCGATCCTGGGCCCAGGAAGGGGCCCGGCCACCCGTGGTCGATGCGTGTAGATCTCGTCGCCCCCCTGCGTGCCACACGGACTGCCGCGTCGGACCCGCCCGTCCTCGGACTCTGGGGCGGGTCGTCCGCCAGTCCGCCGGGGACTCCGCGAGCCCTGCAGCGCGCCGCAGACAGGGCATGCCAGGTGGTCGCTGGGCGCCTGTCGGGAGGTGGCATACCTTTTGCTTCTCCTCGCGCGTGTCCGTTTGGAGGAGAAGCAGAGGGGGGAAGCGGAAGACCGGGAGGGGGAGGGTGGCTCAGCGGGAGGTCAGGATGCTGGCTGGGGGAGGGCCATCGCACTACATCCATTCCCCTGTTTCTCCTCCCTTGGGCTGGCATTTTTCTGAACAGGACTAGATGACGACGAGCAGCGTAGAGGAGAGGATATCAAGAGCCAAGAGCCCATCCAGACGCAGGGGGGCAGGGGGTATCACGGATAATAACAATTCTAAGACAACGAGCAGCAACACGATTAACAATATGAATAATACGAAGAAGAGGGATGCTACTACCATGCTAATACGAATGTGCATGCGAATGCGAATGCTGATGCAAATACTAATGCATCGACGACTACGAAGACTAGTACTAATACTACAACGAATACCGAAACTACTACTACTACAAAACTTGGTATACATCATTCACATGATTACAATCACGGAACTCTGATTCATACAAAACAGCAGTGCTGCTACTACTACTACTACTACTACTACTACTACTACTACTACTACTACTACTACTACTACTACTACTACTACTACTACTACTACTACTACTACAACTACTACTCCTACTACTACTACTACTACTACTACTACTACTACTACTACTACTACTACTACTACTACTCTACTACTACTACTAGTACTACTACTACTACTACTACTACTACTACTACTACTACTACTACTACTACTACTACTACTACTACTACTACTACTACGACAACTACGACAACTACGACAACTACGACAACTACGACAACTACGACAACTACGACAACTACGACAACTACGACTACGACTACGACTACGACTACGACTACGACTACGACTACGACTACGACTACGACTACGACTGCGACTACTACTACTACTACTACTACTACTACTACTACTACTACTACTACTACTGCTACTACTACTACCACTAGTACTACTACCACTACTACCACTACAACCACTACTACTACTACTACTACTACTACTACTACTACTACTACTACTACTACTACTACTACTACTACTACTACTACTACTACTACTACTACTACTTATGCTGAGGATGATGATGCTGATGATTCTGGTAATACTAGTAGCAGTCGCAGTAATCATGATAAGACGAGCACGCGCCAAGGGCGAGGCGTAAACGAAGGCGGCGCAGGAGGGGGAATATCGTTGCGGACGAGCAGCGCAGGAGAGAGGATATCAAGGTCAGGTCAGGGCCAGATACGGATGTCACTGGGGGACTGGCATGGGGGGGTGCATCGACCTGGAATCGGCGATGCGCTGCTAACAGGGCGGCGATAGGCCCTCGATAGAGGAACACCGCGCGCTCCTGGGCGGGTTGGGACCATCAGGCCCCTGTCGGCGATCAATGGGCGATTGGGGGTCGATGCGCTGACCCCTAAACAGATCACCCCCTGACGTGGCCCCTTGGTTTTCGGGTCATGGCGCGGCTCCCTGGCCCCCGGCGGCCGTTCGGGCGGGACGATCCGGGCACCCCCAGAACGACAGCGGCGAAGCGCAGCTGCTGGAGAGCATTCCGAGGCTGGAACGCCACCGAGTGCAGATGAAAAGACCTGGAAAAGCCAAACCCGAACGTTGCCCCTTTTGCCTGTCCCCCCTCCCTATCGTTGCCCCTTGGTCAAGAGCAGCGGGGCACTCGCGGCAGAGGCGCAGTTCCTTGCCGCCTCCCCATGGCCCTTTCGACGTTGCGCGGACCAGAAAAGGTCAGAGCCTGAAGCGCCTGTGTGGAAAGAAGAAGGAGGCCGACTTCGGCCAGCAACGAACAGAGGAGGCCTGGCAGGCGCAGCAGAAAGAGAGAGAGAGAGAGACTCGACAGGAACGCAAAAGGCGGAATGCAAAAGGCGGATGCAAAAGGCAAGAGAGAGAGAGAGAGAGACTCGGCAGGCGCAGCAGAAAGAGAGAGAGAGAGAGAGAGAGAAAGAGAGACAGGCTCGACAGGGACCGCAAAAGGCGGAAGGGACCTCAGGGCGGAGGGCATGCGCGGGCCGGGCAGGGAGCAGTGGAGGCAGGAGGGGAGCGGATCCGATACGAAACGGAAGGCTAGTGAGATTCCCCCCCCCCCCCTGGCCTTCGCCCCTGGCCCTCACCCCACCCCTGGCCGATACGAAACGAAAGGAAGGATCATGAGAGTCCCCCCCTCCCCCTGGCCCTCGCCCCTGGCCCTCCCTCTTCTCCTCCTCCGTGCGCCCCCCGCGCCCGCCCCCCCCCCCCCCCGCCCTGTTTGTTGACCTTTGAGAGGGCCCGGAAGCAGACACACAAAGAAATCGGCACAAGCCTCCCGAGGTGCCCTGTCTTTTGCCGTGCTGTTTCCTCCTGGGCCTTCGCGCTCCCTGCCGCCTCCCGTGCTTTCCGAGACTTCCTGCTGGATTTTCTGGGGGGTTGACGATTCCTGTGTCTGTGTGTGTGTGTGTTTTTGCCCCTCTGCTCCTTTCGGCTACACGCAAGAGTGACCCTGGGTAAGAACGACCTTTGGTGCGCGGCTTCCTGGGGGCCGCGGGGAGACCAAACCTGGGCGCGCAGGCCGCTGCTACCGCTTCGCTTTCAGCCATCTGAGGGCTCATCTGTGCCCGCACCAGAGGTCACCCCGGCGAAAGGTCACTGTTACGTCCAGTCGATCCTTGCCGATATAGAAAAAAGGGTCTCGGAGGAAGCGGGCCCCGGACTCCGGGGCTCTGCCCAGGGCCCATGTCTCATCCCCGAATCGTGCTCTGCCGGGCCCCTGGGGGCCCCAAGGAGTGACCCCAGGGCTGAACCTAAATGGTGTTTTTCGTTTTCGTCTTGTTTTCGTTTTCCCTCGCTTTGTCGTCCACAAGACGAAGAAACGTTGACGTCTATCACAAAACGAAGACGGAACGAAAACGGCCCACGGAATCACCAGAACACCGTTTAGGTCGAGCCTTGCCCCAGAGCCCGAACACGACGAGCAAAAAACCCCAGGACTAGGTCGGGCGCGTCGTCCAACGGGCGGATTCTGGAAGAAACAAAGGACAAATAGTCAAACCATATTCAAACATAAGCAGAAAAAGAATGGACAAATCGTCCCCATCCTATTTCCTGGCTATTTTTGAATATCCCTCCTGTAGGGGGACACCCGACGCGACCCCAGGACCCGCTTCAGCCCCAGGACCCGTCTCCTCCGTGCCGACCTCCGCCCGGCGAGCGGCGCACCACCGGTCGTCCGGCATGGCGTCGCTGTCGGTGAGGCAGACCACGGCGCGGCGGTCGCCTGAGGGCGCCGGGGAGGACGTGATCGGCGGCGCGCAGAGTGGGGGCGGGGCTCCATCACCTTCTCCTCCTCCTCCTCCTGCTCCCTCCTGTTCCTGCTGCTCCTCCTCCTCCTCCTCCCTTCTCCTGCTCTTCCTCCTCCTCCTCCTCTTCCTCCTCCTCCTCCTCCTTCTCCTCCTCCTCGTATCTTTCGCCTTTTGGCATCTGCCCCCCACCACCCCTCGTCGGTGCGGCTCAAGGAGGATGTCCTTGGGATTCCAAACTTTGACTTTCGTCCGTCGGTGTGCCCGTGGTAAGCAGATCACAGTTTGGCTTCGAGGGATTGCTGTGCTTCTAGCCAAAGCCCAAGCATACCCCCAGGACGACGTACCCCCATTGAGGCGTCGCAGCGACCACGGGTCTAGCCATGGTGGGCCGAGTGGGCCCCGAGACACCCTCTCCAGGGTACGTCTGTTCCTGGGACTGCTTTAGGGGAACGGAAATTGACATAAACTTGCAAACTCGGAGGTCCGCGCGGATTTCTCGGATCGGCGCTGGACCCCCCTCCATGGCGCGCGGAGCGCGCCAAGGGCGGCGCCAGGGGCGCCGCCGAGGGGCCCCAGCGCCGATCCGAGACATCCGCGCGGACCTCCGAGTCTTTATCTTTAAGTCACTGTTCGTTCCCCTAGCTGAGCTTCTAGCTGCCGCCTCGGCATTCACAACGGGGCCACGGCCGCCGTGGTTCTGGCGGCGCTGCTCGGCGCAGCTCTGCAGCGTCCTCGCGAGGAGCGCCGCGCGGCGCCCTGCCGCGGCGGTGGCCTCCACGGGGGCTCGACCGGCGAGGCCGCTGCCCCCCGGCAGCTACTGCCGCGGGGGCCGCGGCGGAGGGCGCGGGGCCCGCCACGGAGCGACGCTGCCGAGGAGAGCGTCCGCGGAGGAGCGCCGGTGGCAGAACTGAAAGGGGGGCGCGTGGGGCCCAGCGGAAGAGAAGAAGGGGGCATCTGCCCGAGGGCGCGCAGGATTCCTCCTCCTCCGCCTCCTCCTCCTCCTCCGCCTCCTTCTCCTCCTCCTCCTCCTCCTCCTCCTCCTCCTCCTCCTCCTCCTCTTCCCTCCTCCTCCTCCTCCTCCTCCTCTTCCTCCTCCTCGCCGGCCGAGTGGCCGATGAGCCCTGGGGGCGTGCCGAAGAGCGCGCGGGAAAAGGACGAAGGACGACGACGGTGAGGCGGAGCGCAGGGGGAAGAGCAGGGCATCGACACAGCGAAGGAGGGGGCCGTGACTCGACGGTGAGCCGCAAGTGCGTGTGGGAACGGCACGGGCGGGCGCTACAACAAGATCTCCTCACAACTCAGAATCAACAGGCGAGATACAGACCATCCTCTGCGCGGCAACGGTTCCTGGCCGTGCCGCAAGGGACGCGCACACCGCGACCAGGACTTGGCTCCGTTCGGCCGAGCCACGCTGGAAGCGCACACGGGGCATGTGGACTGTCTGCCTGGGCGGACACGTCCTGGCGGACGAGCACCTGGAGGCGTACCAACATGCCGACAAGGAGGTCGCTGTCAGGCCACTGCCCGCACCCGGCGTACAAGGGAAGGATGCTGCGGAGAGCGGAGGAATTGCCGCCGCGGGCCGCCAGCTGGCGTGAGACAGAGCTCAGGCATACAATCCCACCGGTCCTTTTCTTTCTTCCGACCTTTGGCCTTTGGACTTTTCCACAATGCGGGGCGTACGCGTCCCATCAGATCGGGAAGTTCGCCAAGCTTTGTGAAGCCTGCACCGCCACAGGTCGCGAGTATTGGAGCCGAATCGGTTTGGGACTCTGGTCAAAGGTCCTCAGTCAGACTGAGCGTGCCCAGAAGAGGAAGACCATCTCCACGTCGCAAGGTGCTGCAATGTTTGATCGTACCTCTTCGTGATCAGGCAGGCACTCCAGAGATTCCTCTTCGGACTGGGCAGGGGCTTACCCCTCCCCCTAATTACCTGTGGACGCTGGGGATGGCTGGGCGAGCAATTGGAGCGTCCAATATGGCTCTACGTGTAGCCCAAGGTGGTTGCCTCCGAGATGGCCCACGACAGCGCAAAATGGCTCAAAGCAGCCTCCAACAGGTTTCCAGTGGGCCCCGAGACCGCTCCCAGAGGGCTCCGCGTGGCCGCGGCCCCTCCCAAGGACGCTCCCGAGATGCCCAAATCTTTCCGAACACCTCAGGGAAGCACTGTTTTATCCCAGCCATCTTGTGGTGTTGGGCCCTCCCTCGTCTTGAAGAGACAGCGCCCCGCGTTCCTGCACCTCTCCTCTCCTCCTCCCTCCTCCCATCCCTTGCCTCTGCCCTCCGCACGTCCTCATGTTCATCATCATTCGCATACTAACCGTCATCACCATCATCTGATCATCATCTGATCATCATCATCAGCATCATCATCATGATCATCATCATCATCATCATCACCATCATCATCAGCATCATCACCAGCATCAGCATCAGCATCGACATCATCCTCATCAGCATTATCATCATCAGTACCATCATCAGCATCAACATCAGCATCATCGTCATCGTCAGCATCATCAGCATCATCACCAGCATCAACACCATGATCATGATCATGTTAATCATCATCATCATCATCATCATCAACATCATCATCACTATCACTATCAGCATCAGCATCAACATCACTACCATCATCATTATCATCGTCATCATCATCAGAAGCAGCATCAGCATCATCATCGACATCAGCATCAGCATCATCTGAATCACCAGTATCAGCATCATCATCATCATCAGCACCAGCGTCAGCATCAACATCGGCATCGTCATCATCAGCATCAGCATCAGCATCAGCATCAGCATCAGCATCAGCATCATCATCACCGTCATCGTCATAGTCATCATCATCATCATCATCATCATCATCATCATCATCATCATCATCACCATCATCACCATCATCACCATCGCCGTCACCATCGTCGCCACCCATTTCGGCACATCACTCACACGTTCTTGGGCCTCAAAGGGAGCTCCACCGACGGCCCCAGTAGCAGGGTTCGCATGCGGTTCCACTCCTATTTCGCCACGCCTCTCACACGTTTCGTGGCCCCATAGGGAGCTCCACCGACGGCCCCAGTGGCAGGGTTCATGTGCGGTTGCATCCCCATGTCGGCACACCCCTCACACGTTTCGTGGCCCCATAGGGAGTTCCACCGAATGCCCCAGTGGCAGGGTTCGCATACGGCTCCACCTCTAATTTCGGCACACCCCTCACACTTTTCGTTGCCCCATCGGGAGCTCCACCGAAGGCCCCAATGGCAGGGTTCGCATGCGGTTCCAAGATGTGTCTGAGACGGGTCGAGATGCTCCCAACATTGCTTCACGAGCGCCCAAGACGGCCCAAGAGGCCTCCAAGACGGCCCAAGATGCTTCCAGAAGAACCTCCAGGAAGGCTCGACGGTGCCAAACTCATGGACTCCCTGTACTCGAGTAGGTTTTTGAAGGACCGGCTATCCGACAATCCAGGACGGCCCCAGAGGCCACCAGGATGACCCCAAGGGCGCCCCAAAGACCTCCGAGATGGCCCCCTGACAGCCCAAGAGGGCCTGAAGACGGCCCAGAAGACCTCCAAGACGCCCAAGGTGGCCTCTCTGTGCCGGCTGCAAGCCCGAGCCAGGACGGCGACTGACCGGGCGCGCGCCGGGCGCCGAAGGGCAAGGAGGAGGAGGAGGAGGAGGAGGAGGAGGAGGAGGAGCTGCGCCGACCGTGAAAGCGCTGCCGAATCTCGAAAAGTCGTAGAATAATCCGTGTGCGAAGCGTTGCAGAAACTGGGGAACAAGTGAAGAGCAAGCTGTACTAGAGAACTGACGCAAGCAGTCCAAGCCAGTGGCAGTAACCTCAGTGACACCAAGAGGAGGAGGGGGAGGATGAGGAGGAGGAGGAGGAGGAGGAGGAGGAGGCGGGACGACGGTGGCGTAGTGGAAGGGAACCTGGAGGAGGATGACGATGACGATGCTAACGCGCTCGAGACCGAGGACAGCTACTACGACGAGCGGGGGGTGATCGGCGAGAGGCAGATCGGGAAGGCTCGGAGCTGCGCGCAGACGGCCCCCAGAGGGGTGTTACGTAGAAGTCTGGGGCGGCCTCGCCGGCGACGCCCCTGGGGCGGGGTGCTGAAACCGCTCGGGCCCAGACCAGGGGGGGCCGTGGAGGCCCGCCGGAAAGTCGGCGACTCGCAAGAGCGACCCTGGGCAAGAGTGACCCTGGGTAAGAGTGACCTTTGGTAAGAGTGACCCTGGATAAGAGTGACCCTGGGTAAGAGTGACCCTGGGTAAGAGCGACCCTGGGCAAGAGTGACCTTTGGTGCGCGGCTTCTCGGGGGCCGCGGAGCGACCAAGCACAAGCGTGCGAGACGATACTATCGCATCGCGTCCGACGGCCGGGGGACCCCAACGGGCCCGCACCAGAGGTCACTCCGGCGAAGGGTCCCTCTTACGTGCAGTCGAGAAGGGGGCTGTCTTTGCGCAGACCTGGGCTTGTGAACTGGTGGTGGAGCAGGTTCAACCCTGGCCCTGCCTGCCCACTGCCGCAGGAGCCGCAGGCCCACCGACCGGGCACCCGCCGGACCTGGCGGGGGCACTGGGCCAGAGCACGGAGCGCGCGGCCACGCAGCAAGCCTCCTCTTCCAAGCTGCCTGTTGCTCCTACCCCTGTTTCCCGGACTTCCCTCGTCACAAAAAAACGAAATGGTAATTGATGTCCTCGATTCGTGGGGCGTCCGCAAACCTAACTTGGGCCCCGGGGTCAACAACAACTACACCGGTACACACACCAAACAGCGTCGCAGGGTCGCACATGAACAACATGGACATGGTGGCCTCACAACTGACACACGCACACACGTGTCGGTATGCTCGCACGCAAACATGCACGCACACTTACGCATACGCGCGCTCATACGCAAGCGCGCACGCCTGCACGCTCTCACCCGCACACGCAAACCCCCACACACACGCACGCACGCACATACACATGCACACATTCAGACACACACGCACACACGCGCACTCACGCGCACACACGCACACACGCGCACGCATGCACACACGCACGAACGCACACACGCGCACACAAGCACACACGCACGCATGCACACACGCACGCGCACGCGCAAAAACGCACACACATGCACGCACGGACGCACACACGCGCACGCATACGAACATCTGCACGCACGCACGCAAGCAACCACGCACATACACACACACGCATACACGCGCATGCACGCACATACGCACAGACGCACACACATGACACACATCACACACATCCCACACACAATATACACACACTACACACACCACACACCACACACACACACGCACACACCCACGCACGCACACGCACACGCACACGCACACGCACACGTACACGCACACACAGACACACACACACACTCTCACACTCACACTCACACTCGCACTCGCATTCACATTCGCACACACAAACACACACACACACCCGAGCGTGTACGCACACACACAAACACGCACACACGCACGCACGCACGCACGCAGGCACGCACGCACGGACGGACACACACACACACGCACGCACGCACGCACGCACGCTCACAAGCACACGCGCACACACACACATACGCAAGCACAATCACACGCACCCACACGCACACACACACACACTCTCTCACACACACGCACACCTGCACACACACACACACTCACATACACACACACACGCACGCACACACCCCACACACACACACGCGCACGCACGCACGCACGAGCGCGCACACCACTCACACACACACACACTCTCACACACACGCGCGCACACACGCACACACGCACACCACCACACACCCACACACCACCCCACCACCACACACACAACACCCACAGACCCAAACCACACATCCACGCACCCACACACACGCACACAACACACACACACAACACAACACACAACACTCTCACCACACACACACACACGCCACGCACTCACACACATAACACACTCTCTCACACACACACACGCACACGCCCACACACGCACACACACACACGCACAGACACACACGCGCATACACACACACGCACGCACAAACACATTCACACACATTCACACACAAACAAACAATAACAAACACACAAACACCCAACCACACAAACACACAACCACACAACCACACAAACACACAAACAACCACACACCCACCACACCACACCCCCACACCTACACACCCACACACCCACCCCCACGCACCCACACACACACACACGCGCACCCACACACACGCACACACACACAACAACACACATTACACACACACCTCTCACCACACCCACACACGCGCCCACACACACACACACGCACATCACACACACGCATAACACACACGCACGACACACACACACACATTCACACACACAAACACACAAACACTCAACCACAAAAACATAACCACTTAACCACACAAACACCACACACAACCACACAAAAACACACGCATACACACATACACACAAGCACACAAGCACACGAGCACTCAATCACACAAGCACACCAACACATAAGCACACACAAACACACAAACCACACACGCACACGCACCAACACACAAACACACACAAACGCACACACACAAATACAAACGCACAATACACAAACACATAAACACATAAACACACATCACACAACACACACAAACCACACAATACACACACCACACAAACACACACACAACACACAACAAACACACCCACACACGCACACACACCCACACACAGCACACACAACACATAAACACACAGCACACAACACACACAACACACACACACGCACACACACGCACACACACGCACACACACGCACACACCCACTCGCACACACACACACACACGTACGCACACACACACCCGCACCCACACACCCACACCCACGCACCCACACACCCTCACACCCACACGCACACACACGCACACACACAACACACAACACACATACACACACTCTCTCACACACCCACACACACACGCCGACACACGCACACTTTTTGGTCGGCGGGGCGAGAGCGAACCTCTTCCGCTAAAAGCTAGCCCACACACGCACACGCACACGCACACACGCGCATATACACACACGCACGCACAAACACATTCACATACACATTCACACACAAACAAACACTAACAAACACACAAACACTCAACCACACAAACACAACCACACAAACACACAAGCAACCACACACCCACCCACACCCACACCCCCACACCTACACAGCCACACAGCCACACACCCTCACACCCACGCACCCACACACCCACAGACCCGCGCACCCAGACACACGCACACACAACACACAAAACACACAACATACATATACACACACACTCTCTCTCTCACACATCCACACACACGCCCACGCACGCACACACACACACACACGCACACACACGCACACACGCGCATACACACACGCACGCACAAAAACATTCACACACATTCACACATATAAGCAAACACACAAACACTCAACCACACAAACACAAAACCACTCAACCACACAAACACACAAACGACCACACAACTACACAACTACACAAGCACACAAGCACACAAGCACACGATCACTCAATTACACACACACGAACACATAAACACACACACACAAACACACAAGCACACACACAAACGCACACACACGCACAACTACAAACGCACACCACACAAACACATAGACACACACACAGCACACAACACACAAAACACACAATACACACAACACACGCAACACACAACACACAACACACAACACACACAACCCACACGAAACACAACACACACAGCACACACAACACACAACACACACACACGCACACACACGCACACACGCACACACACGCACACACTCACACGCACACACACACACACACCCGCACCCACACACCCACACCCACGCACCCACACACCCACACACCGACACCCACACACCCACACACACACACGCACACACACAACACACGACACCCACACGACACACACACATACACACTCAGTCTCACACACACACACACACGCACACACGCACACGCACACAGACACACACGCACCGACCAAATGGTGAACGCGCTCGAGCTCAGCTCAGTGGTGCCGGGTGGGCGAAACGAGGCAGGAACGCCATAGATACGCAAAGCGGCGCGCTCTCAGACACGCGTCAAGCCAAGGGGGCATGTGGCTCTGCGACAAGGGTTTTGGAGAGGTGGGCCGCCCGAGGAGGGAGGGCAACAGGGAACAAAGGGCCTCCGACCAAGGGGGGAGCGCAGCGGCGACGGGGGGGGGGGGTGCGGCGGCCGCAGTGGACACGAGGGGGGCCGCCGCCGAGGCGGCGCGGGGGCGGCGGCGCAGGCCGGGGGCGCGGGGGCGGCCGCGTCGGCGAAGAACTGCGCGGCGCCCGGGGAGGGGGAGAGGCGCCCTGCCCGGCGGGTGAGGCAGAGCGCCCTGGGCGCAGCGGGGGGCCCGCCGTGGAGCCGGGGGGGCGGGCGGAGGGCGGCGCCGCGGCGGCCCGAAGGCGGCGGCGGGGGGCGGGCGGGCGCGCAGGCCGCGAGGCGCGTGTGCGGCCGGGGCGGCGCGGCGAGGCGCAGGCGGGGCGGCCGAGACGTGCAGCCGGGCTGGTGCAAGGAGCTGCTTGGACACAGCGGGGTGCCCCGCCGGGCAACGAGATGCAGAGGCAGACGGACAGGGAGAGAGAGAGAGAGAGAGAGAGAGAGAGAGAGAGATAGAGAGAAGAGAGAGAGAGAGAGAGAGAGAGAGAGAGAGAGAGAGTGAGAGAGAGCACTAGAGCCAACAAGAGGGGGAACCGAAGGAGGGGAAAGAGGCAGGAAGAGGTCGAGCGTCGAACCCGAGCGCCAGAGGGCACAACGGGGGGGGGCGGGTCGGATTGCAGCAGCCGCGGCAGTGATCCGGGTGCTCCAAGGCGCTGCGCTGGGAGCTGGTTCTGCTCCACTACAGGCTCGCGGCGAGCGCGTAGTCCTTGCTCGGACATGCGGCTCGCGGGTGCGGGGATGGTTGGGCAGCTGGCTGCCGGAGCTGGACCCAGCGCTGGCTCATGCCGTTGCAGCCAGTGGGCCAGTCGACGGTGGGCGGTGGGGCAGGCAGCCGCCGCGCGCGTGGTGCCCGCCGTGGGCCCGAGGCCGAGCCGGCGGGGAGCGCAGGGCTGGGCTCGCTCGGGGAGGTGTCGTCGCCTGACGAGCAGCGCGGCGGGGCTCGGGAGCGCCGCGAGGCCTCTGGGTGGGATGCCCGCTGGGATGCGGCGGCGAGCGGCCGCGGGCACCCCTGGGCGTCGGAGGGTCGCGCGTGCTGGGGGAGGCCCGGGCGGCGCGCCGCGCTGGCCGCGGTCTGCCCGCAGAGGCCTCGGGGGCAGCGGCGAGGTGGGGGGCAGCGGACTCCTCGGCGCCCGGAGAGCCGGGCGAGGCGGGAGGAGAAGGGCAACAGGCCGGTCATTGGGTTGGGAGGGACGGGTTGGGGGAGATGACCAGATCATCCGCGTTATCCTGTGTATGTATGTATGTATGTCTGTATGTCTGTATGTCTGTATGTCTGTAATTATGTCTGTATGTCTGTATGTCTGTATGTCTGCATGTCTGTCTGTCTGTCTGTCTGTCTGTCTGTCTGTCTGTGTCTGTATGTATGTATGTATGTATGTATGTATACATGCATGCATGCATGCATGCATGCATGCATGTATATATGTATGTATATATGTCTGTCTGTCTGTCTGTCTGTCTGTCTGTCTGTCTGTCTGTCTGTCTGTCTGTCTGTATGTATGTATGTATGTATGTATGTATGTATGTATGTATGTGTGTATGCATGCATGTATGTGTGTATGCATGCATGTATGTATGTATGTATTTATGTATATATGGATGCAGGTATGTATATGTATACATCTCTCTATATATGTATATATCGAGTGTGCTTACTACACAGTCGTGCCCCGCATCCTCCCAACCGCGTCCTCCCAAACCGAGGGTTGCCTTCCTTCCTGGGAGGGGCGGCGTGGGGGCAATGGGCAGCCGACGCCGCGGCGCAGGGGCCGCCGCCGGCCGAGCGCGGAGAGTGCTGCGGCCTCGCTCGCGCGGCGGCCGCCGCTCCGCGGTGCGCGGCCCGCGCGCTCCCATTCCTGGAACCCCGCGTCGCTGCCGCGGGCCGCGGCTCGCGGCCGCCCTCCGCTGCGGGCTCTCCCGGCGTCCCACGACGTGCGAGGCTCCACCGCGGTGTTCGCACCGCCAGGAGTCAGGTCGGGCACGTCCTCCTCCAGGCGGCTTTCGGAGGAGAGAAGTTCCAAACTTACAACATATGCCCAAGCATGCCCCCGAATACACACACACACGTCCCCATACTATTTTGGACTATGTTTGAATATTCCTCCTGTAGAGGGACACGCCCGACTCAACACCAGAGCCGCGGCCGCCCTAGCTGCCGCTAGTAACACCAGCGTCAAGGTATGGGCGCCCATGATCAACGCCCTCATCCAGGACCGGTCCGCTTCCACTTGACCCTCGCGGGCCGAAGCAAGCGAAACACCTGCAAGCCCCATCTCCTCCAAGATCCACCTCCTTCATTATGACTCATGGCTCTCCGCTGCAGACGGCAGCGACAGACTGGTAGTCGCGCCCTAGAATTAGGTCGGGCAGGTAATTTCCTACAGACAGATTTTGGACGACAAATAAAACATACCCAAACATGCTCCAACATATTCAAAACATACCCCCAACATCGCCCCCTATATTTTTTTGTGTGTGTGTGTGTGTGAGACTATTTTTGAATTTCCCTCCTGTAGAGGGACAGGCCCGACTTAATGGTAGTCGCACCCTAGAAAAAGCGAGCTCCGGGCGGCGCGCGACCAGTGTTCCGGCGCATGCGGACCAGCGCCAGGCTTTCCGCGTCCTCCCAGGCGCCGAGCGCCGGGGAAAGGTCCGCGGAGGAGCCGTCGTCCACCAGGAGGACCTCGCTGCTGGAGGGACGACCCAGAGAGGGCGAGAGAGACGGCCAGGGAGGACCTCTCCTTCCCTCCTCCTCCTCCTCCTCCTCCTCCTCCCCTCCTCCTCCTCCTCCTCCTCTCTCCCCCTCCTTCCTCCCCCTCCTCTCCTCCTCCTCCTCCTCCTCTCCCTCCTCCTCCTCCTCCCCTCCTCCTCCTCCTTCCTCCACCCTCCTCCTCCTCCTCCTCCAACTCCTACTCCTCCCCTCCTCCTCCTCCTCCTCCTCCTCCTCCTCCTCCACCTCCTCCTCCTCCTCCTCGCTCCTCACTCCTCACTCCTCCTCCTCCTCCTCCTCCTGTCCGTGGCGGCCGGCAAGCCGCCCGCGCCCCGGCGCCGAGACTTGGGCGGGAGAGCCTGGAAACCCTCAGGACGGGGAAGCCCGCGAGGGAGTGCGGAGGGATGGGAGGAGGAGAAGGAGGAGGAGAAAAACCGCACGCAATAGAATCCGTCAGTCGTACACTCCCAGGTGCCAGGGTCGCGGGCACACAGGGGTTCACAAGCAGTGCGCGGCGCCGCGGCTCTTATTCGGACACCGGGACGGGCCGACAAAAAGAAACGGGCCAGGAAGGGCCAGAAACGGGCAAGAGAGCGAGGAACCGAGGAGCGAGAAGGGGCGGGGGAGAGGGAGAGAGGACGACGGGCAAGGACAGACCGGGCCGACAGACGGACGGACGGGGGGACAGGGAGGGGAAGCCAAGCAGGAGGGGAGGGGGAGAGCACACAACGCACAAGGGCAAGGAAGCACGAGGGCAAAAGGGGGCGACACGGAAGGGGGAGGGAGAGGGAAGAAGGGGGAGGAGCCGGGGGCCGGGGCCAAGGCAAGGCCGAAGGCGGGCCGAGAAGCACGCCAGAGCGACCGCGCAACAAGACAATTGCCGGCGTCCCTCAACTTGGGATTGTCTCTGCGGCGCAACCGGCCGAATCGAAAATCCAATGCGGAATCAGACAATCAAATAATAAGGAATCGGGCGGAGGGGGGAGGAGGAAGGGAGGGAGGAGAGAGGGGCAGCCAGGCTGCCTACACCTCCTCGTGCGCGTCCGTGTCCCGCATGATCTGCCGGACGGCTGTCGGCACGTTGCCCGCCAGCTTCGGGGCTGTCCTCTTCTTGATAGCCCTGGCGGTGCAGCGTGCGACTACCGCCGCCACGCGGGACAGTAACTCTCGCCTGACAGAGGCTGCCTCCCGGCGCTCCTTGGCCGCCACCGCCGCCGCGATGGCCCGGACCGCCGCGTGGGCGGCCGTGGCCATTCCGCCCTGCGCCTCGTGGGCGACGGGCCAGAATCGGAAGCCGGCTGCCATGCACTGCTGCTCGGTGTTCTGGTCTGTCCGCTTCCTCTGGTCGTATCTCTCCGCCGCTGTCCTGGACCCTGCAGCTGTCTCTTGCCAGTGGCCTGCGCCCAGGGCGTTGATGACTGCCAAATCAAAGCACACTGGTTCTGTCCGGATTGCACGAGATCCGTCCGGAAGCTGCCTGGACAACGCCAGCGCGGGGATGCACAGAATGTCTGCAGGCCTCCGCCTGTTGTCTCGCCCGAGCACCTCCTGCAGCACGCGGGGCGCTTCGCTCAGCGGGCGGAGACCGGCGCGCTCGCAGAAATCGAAGTACACATCTCGCACGCCATTGTGCTGGGCTGTGGCATCTCCTCCGGACATGCACGACAGCGCGTGTAACCCTCCAGAATCCAGCAGCTCGCCGCACAACAGGCATGGCACGTTCCCATCCATGACGTCGACTCCAAGACGAAGGGCGACGGTAGTCGCGAAATCATCTTGCAAATGGTGCGTGTCAAGTGTCTTTGATGGTACCATGTTCAATTTCCTGCCCACCCCCAGGGGCTGAGAATGCGTTGGCGTGCACTATCTCCACGGGCTCGGCGGCCTCCCTCCACGAGCGTGCGTTGAAGGCGTCGATGTCCTCGTTGAGCTTGGTCTGCGTGACCACGACGGCGGCGTCCTCGCTCAGGACGCTCGGGTCCGGCAGCTTCGGGGCCAGCGAGTCGACGGCCGCGCGCAGCAGCGGGTCGCGACCCTGCCCGAACCCCCTGTGTCCTGGGCGGATCCCAACGCAGAGGGGCGTGGGTGGCCGACCGGGACGCGACATAAGCAGCGTCCACGCGCTCCGCCACGGTCCTGAGGCCGAGTCCGCCCTGCTTGACCGCGAGGGCGATGCGGGCGCGCTGTCTGGCCGAAAACACTCGCCCGCACACTGCGGACAGGGTGTCAGCGACGTCGTTGTCGAACGTTGTCGCCGCTGGGAGCGTGGAGCTGCACGGCGTCGTCCGGATCAGGTAATTCAGGCGGCGGAGGAGAGAAGGAGGCGGAGGAGGAGAAGGAGGCGGAGGAGGAGGAAGGGGAGGAGGAGACGGGGGAGGAGAAGGATGAGGAGGAGGAGGAGAAGGAGGAGGAGACGGGGGAGGAGGAGGAGGAGGAGGAGGAGGAGGAGGAGAAGGAGGAGGAGGAGGAGGAGAAGGAGGAGGAGGAGGAGGAGGAGAAAGAGGAGGGGGGCGGGATGCCGAACCAGCTGCACGAAGCCCGATCCCCCTGCGCCTGGAGGAGCTGGGAGCACCTCATGCTTCGATGAACGCGCCCAGTTGTGGGGCCGAAGCCAGCTCCTTACAACATCATCTTTCGCAACTGCCCCTTTTCCGGCCCCCCGCTCGTCCGCCCCGAAGGAATGAGCAGTGAGCGAGGGAAGCGAGAGGAGGTTTTCGTGGGCACGCTCAGGAACTACCAGCCGCGAGCGGTGTTTAATGACACCCCTGAATAATGGGCAAATCTTGTTTTTTTTTGGGGGGGGTTCTGTGGGGAGCTAATTGAAGGTTGGTGACACCCAACAAGACTCGGCAAATAAGCATTCCGCCGCCGACGCCGTTGTCGTTGTCGGTCAAGCAAGATCGAAGAGCTATCACATCATTGCTGGCAGGCCAGAACAATCGAGATAAAGTCGCAATGCGTGACATGAGGCTGGATGAGCGCCAAAGAAATACGAGGGCCGTGGACCAACTCAACCTCCCTGGAAATGAAATGCAACCTGAGGTTGGCACTCCGGACAGCTTCCAAGCAGAAAGAACACAGAATACTCCCCCCCAGAGACGACCCCCAGCCAGACAAGGACTGGCCCAGCCCCCCAGACTGCTTACGCCGACCCGCCCCCCACTTCAGAAAACCGCGAAGACCCGCCAAGACGGTCCGAAAACCCCAGCACGCCACGGCGCGCGAACGATGGCACCCTTGCAAATCCTTGTGGGGAGGGGGGAAGGCGCGTGCGACTCCGTGTTCAACGTTTATTATTTGGTTTGTTTGTTTTTTTGTTTTCTTGCGTGTTTTCCAACGTAGCTTGGCTGTTTTGTTACAAAGTCCCGCCGCCCCAGGGTGCCCTCGCAGGGAGCTGGCAGCGCCCCCCAGATGGCGCCACGAGACACCGCAGAGGACTTCCAGAGGCCCCTGATGGCCTCAGAAGGGCCCCGGAGGGGAGCGAGCCATGGAACGGCAGATCCTCCTTGTGTCTGCGACCCGGCGTCGTCGCGGTCCCGTCTGGCTCCGCGAGGAGACAGGCAG